AAAAACTTGAACGCAAAAATAAAAGCTGGAATCCTTCAAATGAAGCATAATAATAACCTACTACTTCATGCAACGCTAACATATCCTCGAGAAAAACACAATCCGTGCATCGCACGGACAAAAACTAGTACATTTAAAAGAGGGATTTTTTTCCTACTGTTCACAAGCCAGAAGTTGGTTCTCTCCTCTCTTGAGCCGGCTCTAAAAGAGGGATTTTTTCTATTGTTCACAAGCCAAAAGTCGGTTCTCTCCTCACTTGAGCCGGCTCTTTAGTTACCTAACTAATTAGCCAGCCTTCCTTTTCTAGTAATAATTAAAAGACTGTGACAGTAGTCAATATTTCTGCACCCATATTTCGCAACTATAAACATGTTGAATTGTGAGTTCTGTGATTTATGAATATTTGTTTTAATAATTAAGCCCCCAAATGGCTAAATATATAAATAATTTATGAATGGTTAAACTTCATTTTCAACTACTTATTTCAATAGATCCATAAGTGTTGTGCACTTATTCAGCAAGTTTTTCTATCTATTTATAAATTAAACTATTTATAATTTATTTCCTAACGAAGGCTAAATGTCACGAAACATAATGAATTTGTGTAGGTCTTTTATGACGTTATTATAAGAAAAGTGACGATAAAAAATATTTATTCATTAATCTATTATAGGTACCTGTTGTATCTCAATCATTTTGTTGAGCTTGTCATTGCTTTCCGAAGAAGATATTGATGAATGAAGATCCACAAGAACGAATATTGTGTTGTATGGAGGGACAAACTTTAATATTGATAGTAATTTGTTCTCAATTAAATTAAAAAGAAATTTATTAAGTTCCTATAATGTGTATCATAATATGTATTAAACCAATATTTGTACAATATTGAACTAGAAGTTCAATGATTGGATTTTATTAATTTGGAAAGACTGGTTAGATCATTTCGGATAAATAATAATTTGAAAGTTTATTGAAGAATCTGTCTTTACATATGTTGAAGAATCAGAAGAGTTTTTAATGTATTAAATTCTCATGTTTTGCTTGCTCAGGAAAAATTGGATATCAGATGTTCATTATGTAAACTTCAGATTGAATTCCAAATGCTTCTGGAATAAATTTAGGGGTGAACTTTGTGGGCCCCCTCACCCTCCTTAAATATTAATAGATGAATCCACCAGATGATAACATGCGTGTTAATTGTACCTCGTGAGTAGACGTTTGTGAGACTATTTGCTGATTTCGAAATTATTCTATTACAATAGTTTGTCCTGTTAATGTTAGCGAATCTACATCAACTTTTGATAATCGTTGTATGCTAATTGAAATGACAGTAGATAGTCTAACAAAATGGTTAAATCATTACCATTTAAAACAGCTTTCATTTTGCCATTTGAGAATATCATTTTAAGTGCGCCAACGTTATTATACATCATGCCAACATCAAAGTTCACACCATTATAGTTGGCTTATGGTTAGGAGCCCAATAATTTTTTTATAGTAAAATATCTACAATTGCTTTACCACGTTTGATAAGTGTGTTTTTATACATTTATTGTACTGTCCAAACATAAAAAATTATTGATTAATATGTTGGAATATAACTTAATTCTATGTAATCTACGTTTTGCAGGACAAAGTGATGAATGTAGCGGAAATAAGGAGAAACAAGTGAAAAATTACCA